GCTTTCAAATATTAAGAAAAGTCGGTTTTGGACAAAATTTTCATATCAGTGCATTCCAAATTAGAGGTATAAATTAGGGCTGGGCGATATGGTCAAAAAATCATATCTCGATATTTTTTGGTCAAATGGCGATATACGATATATATCTCGGTACTTTCTACGTTTTCTATTTAGATAAAGAAAATCTTTATATTAAAAAAAAAAAAAAATATATATATATATATATATATATATATATATATATATATATATAGTATATTCACATTCGGCCCAATGATATCCTACAAACAATGTTGATATTGAAGGATATGGAAACAAATATAATATAGGCTATGCAATATATTATGTGCAAAAAGCTTTTGTTTTTATATTGACTAAAAGCTAAACTAAAAATGAAAATAAAAACAAAAGCACAAACTAATTATATTAGCCTGCATTTGATTACCCCATTATAATCACTTTCACTTTCATTAAAAATATATACTTGTAGGTTTAAAATTCCACATATGGCACATTTATTTTCTCCAACAACAAATATTTTAGCAATATGTTTATTTTAGTCAGAATTATTGCGTACTACGTAGTACTATTCACGCGCATGCGCGCGCTGGCGCTCGTTCAAGGAAGCATGAATTTTAGCGGAGATTCACTTGCAGAAGCTCGTCCTCCTCTGACATGGACATATTTGTTGTGAAATGGACATATTTGCTTTACTTTCTAACATTTACAGATGGAGAATATGTGAAATGTAAGTTGAGCACTGAGGAAAGCACCACATCTCAAACGCATTAAACAGCGCAAGTATATCTGTCAGTCAGCAACAGTGTCTGTCAGAGCATTTGACAGGGCGGCAAGCTGCCTTAAACTTGTTAACTATATCAAAGTGATTTTGACGCAATTAATATAAGCTTGTGTCATGTTTAGGACAAATTGTACTACGTAGCCTAGCTACTTTCACTGCAGCAGCTCACACTGCAAGCTCCGCTATTTTTCAGATGTGCTCATATCAAACTACTGTATCGATATAAACGGTATTGCCTCATTCCATATCGTTTCAAAAAATATAACGATACATCGTACATATTCGATATATCGCCCAGCCCTAGTATAAATGAATAAAAGTTTAATATTATGAATGCCTGTGATTGTGGAATATTATTTTTTAATGAACTGGAGATAATAGAAAGTTTGGCATTTTTAAAAATATCGGTATTAGCCGATAAGCTTTTCTGTTTGGCCGATGTATCGGAAGCGGGACTTTTATTTTGTCTTATTTCATCTTCGCTAGTTTGCGCCGGTCTCTGTTTAACAGTCCAATCTAACGTTTATCGGCCAATGTATCGGTTATCGGCTTTCAAATATTAAGAAATATCGGTTTTGGACAAAATTTTCATATCAGTGCATTCCAAATTAGAGGTATAAATGAATAAAAGTTTAACATTATGAATGCCTGTGATTGTGGAATATTATTTTTTAATGAACTGGAGGTAGTAGAATGTTTGGCATTTTTTTAAATATCGGTATTGGCCGATAAGTTTTTCTGTTTGGCCGATGTATCAGAAGCGGGACTTTTATTTTGTAATTTCATCTTCATTAGTTTATGCCAGTCTCTGTTTAGCAGTCCTATCTAATATGTTTTATCGGCTAATATATCGTTTATCGGCTTTCAAATCTAAAGAAATATCGGTTTTGGACAAAATTTTCATATCAGTGCATTCCTAATTATAGAGATATAAATGAATAAAAGTTTAACATTATGAATGCCTGTGATTGTGGAATATTATTTTTTAATGAACTAGAGATAATAGAATGTTTGGCATTTTTTTAAATATCGGTGTTAGCCGATAAGTTTTTCTGTTTGGCCGATGTGTCGGAAGCAGGACTTTTATTTTGTCTTATTTCATCTTCGTTAGTTTACGCCGGTCTCTGTTTAACAGTCCCATCTAATGTTTATCAGCCAATATATTGGTTATCAGCTTTCAAATATAAAGAAATATCGGTATGTGCCAAAAGTGTTGTATCAGTGCATCCCTAATTATAGAGGTAAAAATTAATGAAAGTTTAATTATATAAATGTCTGTGATTTGTGTAATATTATTTTGTTATGTGGAGGTAGTGGCATGTTTGGCATTTTTATAATATGGGCATTCTGATGTGTCGGAAGCAGGACTTTGTCTTTATATTATTAATAATAAAGGATTAACTCTACTTTCTCATTTACCATCAGCATATATATCGTGTAAACAAATCTTTGAATATCTAATAAATGTTTAATTTCACAAACTTTGTTGAATCCAGCTGTGTTTACTGTCGGTCAGTTCGTGTGAATTGAATAGACAGCAAGAGATGACGCACGATCACCAAACATCAAACTCTTCATGCTGTGTTGTATATAATTGCCCAATATGTCATATTCGTGCCATTTTCACTCTGTGCTGTATATGTAAAACTAATTTTATTCCAGACATAACCACACATTATTTTTCAAACGTCAGCATCTTGCTGTGTATACTTACTGTGCATTATGCAAGTATATAACCCGACGCATTAAACTCATTATCAAAAATGTTCTGCTGATCTGATTTAAAGGACAACCCCAGCGCAAAATGAACCTTTGGTCTAATTACACACCTAGTCGACTGGTCTCTGAGATTTGTTTTCATGATAATCGAATGTAAAGAGTTTGATCTCTAAAAACCGTTTAGCATATACGCTAGTATATAGGCATGGAGTAATGAAAATTAAAAATCGCTAGTTAATACCACTAACAAGGCTCAAAATAGCCCCACACTAACACAGTAACATAATGAGGGTCCCTACATGCAAAACAAAGCATTGAGAACTTTGTAACTATTGAGAACTTTCGACAAGTCAAACTTGTTATTAGACCAAAGGTTGATTTTGTGCCGGAGTTCTCCTTTTAGAGAGGCAGAATCTTCTTGGGTTGTAAAACAGTCCATGTTGTTGTTGTTTTCTGGACTCAGCGTATAGCGTGGCACTAAAATAAGCCCGTGACCCTGTGACATCAGTTCCTCTCAGTGTTTTCTTCTGCTCATATTGCTGTTCGTGCCCGCAGAGAATGTGCTCATGAATAATTCAGTGGTCCTTCACAAGGGGCCTCAAATTGGGTCTTTCTTAGAGGCGAGACTGGCGAACCTTGACGGAGAATGTTGTAAAATTTTCATTTTGTATATTTGTTTCCTAACATACAGTGAAATGCATTGGACATTCTGTTATGATTATGATGTGAGCTTGTATTGCCTCCTCTATGATGTCATAGTTGTGTCGCAGTGTGGGTGGAGGGAGAGATGGCGAGAGATAAAGATAGAGAGAGATGTAAAGGGAATGAAACGGTCACTGGCAGCTGTGTGTGCAGACGCCAGTAGGAGTGAGCATGAAAAACAAGCCTGTGTGTTCACTGACATGACATTGTTGTGCAAGATTGAATCCCTCCACAGAATATGACACCAAACATTTCAACTACTCCTGCTGTTTGAGTGACTCCTGTGGTAGATACTGCTGCCAAAAACATCTTTCTTTATTGAACGGCCATTCAAAGATACAGCAAGTGTGATTTAGAGAGGAAAAAAATGCAACAAAAAATGCACAAAAAAAAAATATATATATATAGCCTATATATATATGTGTCTGTGTGTGTGTATATATATATATATATATATATTGCATTTTTTTTGCTTTTTTTTGCATTTTTTTCCATTTATATATTGTTCCATTTATATATTATTTATATATTAGCATTTATATATATATATATATATATATATATATATATATATATATATTATAATCATATATTATATTTTAAATTTAATTATAGTTTTTGTTTGTTTAATTATTTATAGTTCTATATTTCGTCCCCTTGGAATTATAAGGTTCTGAACAGTTTTGAGATATTGAGCTTCAAAGTTTTTGCATTCCATATAGGAAAGTGTGTATGGGGAACAAGTTTCTTTCAAACATAAAAATAACAGGGACCCTTAATGTACAAAACACATCACATAATGTAAATAAATTGTCACAGAATAAGAATATGTGAATAACTCAATTTTGACAAAAATGTCAGATAGAACCTTATAATTCCAAGGGGACGATTTATAGTTCTATGTCCATCCATCCATCCATCCTGATACATTGTAAATGATAGTGAATGCTGAGTTTGCATTGGACCATTATACATTAGTGTGGTCTGGCTTTCTTTGTGAATACCGTTGTGTACAAAATATCCAGCTCTGAATAAAAGCGAATGGCTGATGAAATAAAGGTTAACACTGATTCAAACTTTATCGCATTTTTTTTTCTATTTCTTTTTGGCGACGAGAGTAATTGATCAACCCCAGGATTAAAATCATGATATTCGGACATGGACGGGGAGATCTCCATTCCCTTTCATTAGATTTGAGTGAGCTGTTCGTACTCGCTTTGTTTATTGAATCTGCTGCTGAATTCATTTGGTTCAGACCTTGGTGCAATAAAACCCAAATTATATCGCTGAGGGCAATGTTTTAAGGATATTTAATCCTTTAATAAATGTTCGGTGACTCAGGAAACTTTACCTGAACCCATTTGTGTGCTTCTCAGAGCAATGGAGAATCTTTAATAGACAGACATTCATTAAATCCTGTAATGTTTAGACTGAATCTTGAGTTAATAGCGGTGTTTGCTGAAACAGCATCACTATTGCTGATATTTAAGATGTAAATAAATTCATGACTCTAATTATTTGTGCTGTGAATCGTGTGGCTTGTTGAAGAGAACAGCTATTAGTTTATCTTAACAAAAAACAGTGTTTGGCTTTTTGAAACACCACACAATGCAAAGACTGAACGTTTAGTCAATCATTAGTCTCTTGATTGTGGTATTATATGCAGGCTAATTATCTGTGAAGATTAATTTCATCCTCTTGAGCTGCTTAAACCCTGAATGTGTTCGTTTCAGAGGAATATGAAGGTTCTGATGTGAATGTCTAACTGTGCTTCCAGAATGACACACACCGCAGTGAGGATTTGTCCGAATGTGAGGAGCGCTCCGGACCGTCCGTTCAGTCGCACGCAATGATGAGCATGTAAACAACCGACCGAGGTAAGGACACTTTTATTAAAGTGGTTCTCAACTGGGTTTTGCACAGATTGGACAGCTGTGATGAATGAACACACACTCAAAAAAGGGCTTATGTGATCCGTATTTACAAATATTTGCATTTGCATTTACCAATGCAAATCACATGAACTAAATGGTCCATTCGCTTGTTTCATTAAGATTTATACAAAATGTTTTATTAAGCTCTAGTTTTACTTAATTCATAACATGAATAATATATAAGAAGTATTCAATTCAATTTAATGGAATTTTATTATGCAATTGAAACTGAAAAACCCCCCAGAAATATTGTATTATTGAAATGTATTATTTGTAGAATTTAGTGTTTAGATAAAATACATTATTAAAGTTGTTTAAAATATTGTTTACCTAATATTTATATTACTTATAATAATTTATAACACTGTTTATTAAAAAAAAACATTTAATGTATTATTATTTACATTTATTTAAATTAGTATTGAATTAAAATTAAATATTGTTAAAATCATTTTTAAAATATTTATATATATTTATTTACAGATAATTAGCCAGAATGTAATACCACAATATTATCATTGAAATGTATTATTAAAAATGAATAATTATTAATTAAAATATTTTTTTTTAAATTAAGTTGTATCTATAATATGTTATATTATATATTTATAATTCTTAAATATTTATAAAAAGTATTGAAATGTATTATTTGTACTTTAAATTGATTGAAATTTTTGTCCTTGGCTTTATTAATTTTCACTAAGGTAGCCAACGACTAAAGATGTGGGAAGGGTTTTCACCTTCCTTTTAAAAGTTGGTAATCCTGCTCATGTCACTTGAAGTATCCATGATAGTTGCATTTTGTTATTTGCCCATCATGTTTGGTTTCCGACACCAGTTGAGAACCGCTGTTTTCCAGCATGCTGCGTTTGCCGAAACGCCTTTGAACACAAGCATTGTGCCTTTGCTGTTTTTTCATTGTTCACTTTCCCAGTGCAGTGGCCTTGGTTGTGCTGATTTGCTGCATGTGTAATGTACTTCAGAACGGGAAGATCAAGTCTGTGCTCTCGCAGTCTTGTTCAATCAATAATGAAACGAGGTCTTGTCTGAATTGTCTAGCACCCTCTCAGACCCGCTCAAATCTTGACTGGAAATGGCGAATCAGAGTTGGCTTGTGCATGCATGAGATTTTGAGGCTCCGAACTCTCCTAAAGGAAAGGCAGACTTTGTTGTCAAAGATAAATGACTCCCTATCAGAGCGCTGGTGATCTATAAACGAATTCATCTGTACCATGTCCCCTAACCGCGACAACGTGCACGTAGGCAACATGGTCAACAAAAGCCAATTTGATTTAACCTTCATGACATGCTCATTTTTTCTAGTTGATCCTGTAGTGTTCTTGAGATTGAGCGAGTGGCCCCTGGGGGCCGGTGTTGTATATGAAGAGTCAAACATGGAGATTTGTGTGCAGATTGATGGGCTGCCTGCCAATTGTTCATCAGCCGGCTGTACGCGCCACAGATTTATGAAGTCGTAATGCCGATGAGTGACCTCCACTGAGGAAAAAACCTTTGCTGCATTTTCATCACTTTGATGGGCGCTGCATCTTTACCTTTGCCAATAACTTTTAGACGGACGATCCATCCAAAACTAGAACTTTACCGGATACGTGTTGAATTGTGCGGTCGTTTTGGGAGACGACCATAAGCTATTTATTCCTGTGATGGTCAAGCTGAATATATAAAATCGTCAAGCATGGGAGAATGGCTGCTTGTAGTTTAAGCATAACAATACCATGATATTGGCTCCAAAACTGGTACATTTGACATTACAGATCCTTCCTCATGAAGTGCATCACTGGCTTGAGAACAGGGTTTTCTGTCTTGAAAAGCTTGAGGTCTGATTTTGGACATCGGGCCTCATTTCCAAGTTTCTCAGCTTTTTGTTCTTATGAACTTATGAACGTGTTGATAAAAAAAGAATGCATGAAGCTAGAATAACACTTTTTTTTTAAAGCAGATGCTCTATTCTTTCTTTTTATATGTGTGTTCAGATATTCATACAACACAATTCTTCTGGGGGCCATGACAGTTTTGTGAAAATGATCAAAAACGCTGGCGGTGGCAGGCAACTTAAAAAAAAAAAAAAAAAAAAAACCGCTGAAGGGGAAAGAGTTAATAATGTTCTCAAAACATTAGTACAAGTTTTTTTTTACCTTTATTTGGATGTTCATCTAACGTTTTTTAAATGTTGCACTCGTTACTTTTGAATGTTCTCTGAATATTCCGAAATTATGTTTGCACAATGATAAATGGAATGTTCCGTTTTTAAATCATTCTAAAAAGACGACGAACTAAACATTCAAAGAACATTGAAAAATAATGTTTTTTTTTATAACTTAGCAATATATTTTTGTTAGGTGTGTGTTTTTCCAGTAAGCTTTTTCTTTTAAAAATGTATGATAAATCAACTAAATCAGTTCAGAGATGTGTATCTGCATGACGCATTAAACAGTTTAATAGCTTTAATAGCAGTGCTTCTCTGAGATTTCATCACACCTGAACACACTCACAGCAGAAACACATTAAAAGCAAGGGAATCGAAATCTACAGACTTTTATTAGAAATTTAGCGTCAGTGTTTGTTGGATTTTTACAGAATCATTGTTGCCTATAGTGGCAGTGGTGTGGGCGGGTTATGTCATATCCAGCCAGGTCTCAGTGCTGGACAGAAACAGTGTGACTGACTGGTATTATAGGATGTCATCGTGTCCTCTGTGCTTCGTCCTCGGGCTAAATGATTCAGCAACTTCACATGAGAATGACAAAGATTACCAGCGCATGCTTGCGTTCAGCAGAATCACACACATTAGTGTTTGACTGTCAGAGAACACATGACTGGGAGAGTTATTGTGCTTTAACTTTTGTTTAGACATTGTCAATAGTGGATCGATCAAACTCCTACACAGTTCACGGGATCATAGATTAATTCCAGCAGTTTTTCTGTCTGTGTTTATTCCAGAGGAGGATTGCTCACACCTCTCTCGTTCTGTTTAGTATGGACAGTATGTGGTGTTTTTTTTTTGAGATATACAGTAAAATGTAGATAAAGACTGAGGTCTCACTATGGCACGTAATTTTCTCTATGAGTCACCCTCATGTTGCTCTTGTTTATGTCAGAGGACAAACAAATCGAGAGCGATGCTGGGAGGCTCAAACGCTAGCATGAATTTATCATTTGTTTTTAAAGATTTTTAGATTAAATGAAGAAATTATGAGCCTTACTCGCTAGTGCATAGATAGATAAATGGATGGATGGATGTAGGGATGGATGGATGATTGATGTTGGGATGGATGAATGGATGTAGGGATGGATGGATGTAGGGATGGATGGATGATGGATTGATGTAGGGACGGATGGATAGATGGATAATGGATGGATGTAGGGATGGATGGATGGATGATGGTTTGATGTAGGGATGGATGATGGATTGATGTAGGGATGGATGGATGGATAGATGGATAATGGATGGATGTAGGGATGGATGGATGGATGGATGATGGTTTGATGTAGGGATGGATGATGGATTGATGTAGGGATGGATGGATGGATGATGATTGATGTTGGATTGATGGATGATGGATGGATGTAGGGATGGATGGATGGATGATGGATTGATGTAGGGATGGATGGATGGATGGATGGTTGGATGGATGGATGATGGATTGATGTAGGGATGGATGGATGGATGGATGATGATTGATGTTGGATTGATGAATGATGGATTGATGTAGGGATGGATGGATGATGATTGATGTTGGATTGATGGATGAATGTAGGGATGGATGGATGATGATTGATGGGATGGATGATGGATTGATGTAGGGATGGATGGATGGATGGATGGATGGATGGATGGATGATGATTGATGTTGGATTGATGGATGATGGATTGATGTAGGGATGGATGGATGATGATTGATGTTGGATTGATGGATGAATGTAGGGATGGATGGATGATGATTGATGGGATGGATGGTGGATGGATGTAGGGATGGATGGATGGATTGATGTAGGGATGGATGGATGAATAGATGGATTGGTGTAGTAGGGATGGATGGATGGATGGATTGATGTAGGGATGGATGGATGGATGGATTGATGTAGGGATGGATGGATGGATTGATGTAGGGATGAATGGATGAATCGATGGATTGGTGTAGTAGGGATGGATGGATGATGGATGAATGCATGTACGGATGGATGTAGGGATGAATGAATGTAGAGATGGATGGATGGATTGGTTCAAACTAATCTTTATAAAAGGTTGGGCATTAGTGAGAAGGCATCTGTCAATAACATAAATGTGTACATGAGTGTGAGCGTGTGTGTGTGTGGGGGGGGGGGGGGGAGAAATGTCCATAAATATCCACAATCCACACTCCGACCTCGGTTTGGCTCTCCTGCTTTTGTTGCAGTAAGCGTGGAGTGAAGACTCGCTCCATAAGAAACATCCCGTATCAGAACGTCTCTCCCTCCAGCTTCAGAAGAGAAGCAGTGACATTCACACGCGCTCGTGAGTCTCTGAAGCGTCCCGCTCATGAATATGGATGTGGCCGTCCTGTGATTGGCTGAGCTGTGCCTGAATGACAACCTCTGACAGATCCACACTTCATGCTATATTAAAGATCCCTGGATTCATAACTCACACTCAGATTTAAGACGTGACCGCCATTAGATATGAAGAGCACAGTGGGGTTTGATGTGGGCTGAACAAAGTGTAGTTTTCATAGTATGAGTGCTAGGACTCATTTGTTAGTATTAGTTAATGCATTAGCTGGCATGAAGTAACATAGAACAATACTTTTATATAAATATATTTATAAAGTATTTGTTGACCTTTTTTAATGTTAGTTAAAAAAATGTTCTCATTAGTTACCAATGTTACCAGATACATCTTTTGATCTTAAAGTTGTAATATTTACATGCATTATTCACTTTTC